TCCAGTCTGACAAATGGGGAACCTGCATAAGACTGAACGAAACTCCCTTAATGTAGGAGACAGTGGTGGGGATGGGACAACATATGAGGCCACTGGTAGTGGGACCAAGACCTAACACTAATGTACAAACTTACTTAATGGAGCCCATTCTATATGGAGAGATACCCTGCAAGCCTAGACACAGGGGTGTGTGTAGAGGGGAGGTGCCTGGGTCCTGCCTCAATGAGATGATGTGACAGACTTCCTAGGGGCATCACTACCCTCTCTGAGGAGCATATGGGAGGTAGGGTGGAAAGGAAGTTGGGGTAGGAGGAGGAGAGAAGGGAGGGGAAATGGGGATTTTAATGTAAAAATAAATTAATAAAAACTGACAAGAAGAGCAAAAAAAGTGTATTTTGTGGTACTGATATAAACATTTGTGTTCTCACCAAATCAAACCAGAGATGGCAGCCATGAAAGAGTGCAAATAATATTCATGTTGTATTATTTAAGAAATATTGACTTATACATGCATATATCTGTGCATCTGTATCTCTATGTAAAAATAACAATCAATAATCAATTTGAAAGGGATTGGAGGTGTTGGAATTTGGAGGGAGAAAATATAAAAGTGACTGGAAGGAGAAAAGGGAATAGTGACGTACTTATATTTCAATTAAAACGTATTTTGTAAACTTACACAAAAGAGTCAGAAAGTAGTGCAAATCTTTTAGCCAGAGAGGCATTTTTCATCAATGCATAGTTAGCTTCATTCAATTTTTAGAAGAGAATTATATATTAATTGCATCATGAAGACATTTAACTAAAATGTCTAAGTCATTATTGTGATAGTGTAATTGTATGGCTGTTTGTCTTCCTAAACAAATCATGTTTATTGCAGATGAACTTTCTTATCATTAAGGAAGGGAAACATTCATATGTGAATAAAATCTGATACTGCAAGTGGCGGTGAGCATGTTTGTAACAGGGTGCTCCGGTCTACCCTGCTTATTGCATCCTCATCACTGAAAGCGACTATTTGTAGTATTTCAATTATGTTAGGAGGCACATTAGTATTGGAGAAAACTGTTGGCTTTCATTGCTAGACACTTTGATGCATACACTGACACGGCTTTATTAAAAACAGACAGGCTAATAATAACTCTTTTATAAGGTTGTGGCAAGAATAGCCTAAGCAAACAGGAAAATCACAGCCTTGTGTTAGCTTTCTTTCCTTCTTTCTTTTGTTCACATAAGCAGATAACAAACCAAACCAGCAAGGGAGACTCCATGCTTGGAGGCACACGGTGTTCATTCAGCATGTTCTGAAGGTTCTATGTGCTCCTATTGATGACTCTTTCTTTTCTCGGAGAGAAAGGAGAGTGGCAGGGAAGGTGATGGAATATTTCAACACTTCACACTGTGAGACTCACAATTGGACTAGTAACTAGCTTTCTTTGAAAACTTTATTAGGCCCTAAATCCTAGCTCTGCTCCTAGCAGGGTAATCTTTGTGCTTCGGGTTTGTCCTGACAAAGCTCAAAGGAGAGGAGTTTAAGGTTTGTTTCAGCACTGTAATTTTGTGAACTCCACCAGTTTTTATTCCTACTCAAAACTGCACCACCTCAGAGGTTTCTCAAAGAAGAGAAATTTTACCCTTGCTGGCAAATGACAAAGGACTGAATTAAAGCAGTAGCAAGCAGCACTTTCTACCTTCCAGTGTTGGAATATGAGAACAGAGCCACTGAACAAGGACTTCTTCACACCTCAGCATCTCTCATTCTTTTGTTTTGTTTTGTTTTGTTTTCTTCCCTTGGGTCCCTTGAAGGTCTTGAATTTTCCAAAGTATTTTTTGTCCTTTCCTAAGTTTGCATTGGTTTGTAACAGCCTATAAAAAGAAGGCTTGAAAGATGGCTGCTCTGGCAGGTGGACCATATTTAATTTCCAACACCCATATATCAGGTCACAACTGTCTGTAACTCCAATCCCAGGAGTTCTGTGGCTCTCTTCTGGCCTGCATGTCCAAACACACACACACACACACACACACACACACACACACACACATATATATATATATCCATAATAAGCACTCCCCACAAAAATAGAGAAGCTATTTATCACTGTCTAGAGAATAGATCAAACTGTTACAAAGGAAAACAAAAACAAGGAAACTTGAATTTCATGTGCTCAAACAACATACCTCAGATTCTAGACTTCTAACAAGTCCCATGAGATTTTTCAAGCTCTAGAACCATTGCTTATAGCAGCTACCAAAATATGCTTAAATGTATGTGTCGGTCCTTAAATGTAACACTCAGAAGAAAGAAAGTCATCAGAAGCATTTCAATTTCATAACCACATTATACCCTTTACAGTTTCCACAAAACATAATCATATTTCAAAAATAATTTTTGAAGGGGTAAGCATGGCCAGGCGGTGGTGACACACGCCTTTAATCCCAGCACTTGGGAGGCAGAGGCAGGTGGATCTCTGGGAGTTCGAGACCAGCCAGGTCTATAAGAGCTAGTTCCAGGTCAGCCTCCAAAGCCACAGAGAAACCCTGTCTCAAAAAAAAAAAAAAAAAAAAAAAAAAAACCAAAAAAAAAAAAAAGGGCAAAGCAGGAGAGAATATTATTCCTCCATTCTCACATGGTTTCTCAGTATTCACATACACACAATTTAAATTATTATTCACTATTGTGAGAGCGAGAAAGAGATTTGAGCTCTGTCACACATATGAAAGTGTCAATGATATGTATGTGGCGGCATGTGTGTAATGGCACACGTGTGGAGGCCTGAGGACAACCTTATGGAGTCAGGCCTCTTTCCAACTTTCTGTGAGTTACAGCATTTGAGATCTGATCTGCAGGGCTGTACCTCAAGCATCTTCACCTGCTGAGCCATCTCTCTAATTTAGTAGAAGTGTCATTATGTAAGTGGAAGTTCAGAATTTAGTTTCTAATGCATAAACATAGGGGTAAATTAAATGTTGACATGTGTTATTTTATATGAGATTACTTGTTTACAATAAAAATTCTTAGAATAGAAGCATAATATAAGCATTTTAGGATATCTCAAAAGCTAAATATATCTCAAAATTTATAGTCTATGAAACATTGCAGAAGAATAAAATTACAAAAAGAAATATACAAAAATCTGCCTAGCTATAAAGGTATGGTTTTCCAATTTTCTTTAAATATTACTTAATATTCAATATAAATGTTACTGTGGTAAAAAGTTATCAATTTAATTATCAACAATATTATCAAGATGGATGAATTTTAATTGTGACTATAGAAACTATTGTTTAGCCAAAATCTTCAGAAAATTTTAAAGATTGAAATGTTATACTGAAATCAATACAACTTTATCTTATAAAATAAATCATCCTTCTTCTTTCTTAACATGCAATCACTGTATTTTACTGTTTTTAAAAAATAACTAATAATTTTTTATGATTTGGGAACAACATAGCAACAGCATAATGTTTCATTTAAAAATAAGTATTTACAGGATTCTTATTTTGTCTGTTCCTTTCCTCAGAGAGGAGGTAGAATCAGATTGAAGGTCGAGATTTGACACTTGTATTTAGTAGAACAATTATCCTCAGGAGAAACAACATAAATGGTAGTAATAAATGACAGCTATACTGCAATAATGATTCAAGTTCCGGAAAATAAAAAGGTGGCCAAATAAAGAAGGAACATGTCTGCCAGCAGAGCACACAAACATGCAGTGTAGGAGGATTCAAGATGTTTGTCTTTTCCAGCCATTTTTAAAAAATATTTTGATTTCATTTTACATTCTGATGACAGTTTTCCCTCCCAGCCCTCTTTCAGCTCCCCTCATTTGCTCCTACTCCCCCTTACCTCTGCCCTAGCCCAACCACAGTCCACTCCTCCTCACCAGCAAGGCCTCCCATGAGGTATCAACATACTCTAACACAATAGTGCAGGCCCACCTTCCATGCATTAAGACTTATGTCTTCTTAATGTCACAGAAAATATTTGGTGTCCTGAGAGTCCGACAATATGCAAAATTTAGGCCTCAAATTATCCTTGCAGACCCATTTCTAATTTTGTAAGAACTGATTTTTTTTTTCTGTTCAGCATACCAGTACACAGAGTAATGGAGTTTAGCATGGAACTCAAAATATGTTTCAAAATAAGATCTTGTTATTATAGCAAGTGTACAAGTGATACTGAGAATTATTAGGCTTTGTGTAACACTGCATCTATAGAGTCTGTTTACCTCCATTATATTTTTATCTCATAAGAATAAAGCTTAGATTTTTCTTGTGAATTATCAGTTGCCATTTAATAATGTCTTACATGTGACCTAATGACCAATTCATTCACCTAACCCAAGAGATTTGGAAAAAATAAAGGTGTTTCTGAGGCTTAGCCTTCAGAAGAGAAGATATTTCTTTTTTATTAGCTCCATCTGATGGCTGAACTAATTTTTGCACAAAGCCCAAGTAAATCCTTAGTATGTTTTGTTTGTTTGTATTGATTTCATTACCTGCTCTCCATACAGGTATGACATGCTTTGAGGGGACTATTTGCCTAACTCTTTTCCTAACTAGCACTTTCGATTCTACCACCAAGAAATAGATTCCTTGTAACATTCTTTCCAAGAAGAAAAAATATATCTTGGTTATATCATCAGATCTTTTAAAATCGAGAATTGTAAACATCAAATATTATAATGAAATAGATTTTAAAAAACAAAAATATTTCAATATTTTTCTGTATGTGGATATTTACACATAAATCTCATGGAAGCATACTTTGCTGGATTTACATTGGAAATATACATGAGGATAAACAATTTTTAGCACATAAAATGATGTTATAGAAAGGCCTACTTTGTCAAAATCCCACTTATATGCTATGCCACCTCAGTACCATCTAGGTATAGTTATGCATGCTAAAATACAGTCCTTCTTTGGCTTTGTGTTTGGAGGGATTAACTGAGCTAAAGTATTTAGTGATAAGTAAGTCATAGAAAACATCATACCTCAGCATCATATTCCCATAGCTGATTTCCTCTCATATGGTGGCATTTTAACATGATTACAGGTCCATTGAGTCTGGATACATCCAAGCACAAGTCATCAGTTCTGATTTCCTTGTCAGCAGTATAAGAAAACACCTGAAAACAGAGAATTCAGCTAATAAAATATTATCTTGTTTACAAAGCATACTGTTTAGGAAATCTGTCCATGGACATTTTCGTAGCCTATCCACAAGGTTCAAATCTTCTCTGTTGGTTCTGCAAAAGCTGCCTCATATTGCTGTTATTTTGTTCAACAGCAATGTATGAGAATACTTTATAGTATTCTTCCTTAGAAGACTATAATGGAGCTTTGATTTAACAAGTGACATTAGTAAATGTTTATACGAGCTGTCCTTGAATTTCCTATGTGATATGTGCTTAATGGAGCACACATGTTTCAATTAATGCTGAAATTTTCAGACTGCAGAGTTCCACAAAGGATTGTCCTCTACTTCTCACCAATTCTCTAAATCTAGACAGTATTTCTTTTTATTTTAGAAATTTATTAACATTGTAATCAGGTTTATAAATATGAGGTAATTATCTTTTCAGGGTCTCCATAGCCATAGGCTTGCATTCTACTACAGTTCTTGCTTATGATATTGGCTAATCTTGACAACCTTAGTTCTTCTCAAAATACCCAGAAAATGTCAAGGCATATCATTCATTCACTGTGAAATCAAACTGAAATTATAAATTTTATGATTTTGTATTAATAATTTATTTATAATAATTAACTATTAAGGTTTCATGAGGACTATTATGAGCATCAATGTAAAATTAGCTTTCTTCTTTTGGGCTATGGTCAGCAAAGTTTAGTAATCTGTGGGTTCTTCTTTTTAATTTGAATGTCAGAGGGGCTACAATTAGAAAGGTCATCTCCAAGGTTTGGGTTTTCCCAGAAATTCTGAGACCAGCTCAGTAAGAATTGAAACAAGCTGGAGCCCTAAACTACAGGCTGAACTGCAGGCTTAAAAAGAATGTATAGCTGGAGCAGCTTAGTGGTGGATCACTAGAGTAACATGTGAGCCCTAAGTTTAACCCCTAGTACCAATAAAAAGAATTTGGAAATAATTAAGTTTAGAATACATTATCAATATTGTATATAAGAAGACGATAGGTTTGGGAAGGCTTAACTAAAACTGAGAATTCATGGAAATCCTTTGCAGAAACTCATTAGACTTCAGATTTTTTTAAATAGAGTAAAACAAACTGAATTGCATTAGTAGATAATGCTTCTATGTGAAACCAGGTGCAATTGAACAAGAAGACCAACAGGAGAGAGGAGAGAGAGAGAGAGAGAGAGAGAGAGAGAGAGAGAGACCTCATTACAGGATATTGTAGTTGCTCTTGGTTTCCCACCAGAATTTGTTGATAAGACCCTATTGCTTAAGATGCTCCATAGATTGGTTGTAAAATAAAGAAATCAAGCTAGAACCAAGCCAAAAGCTTCCTTTCTGGAGGTTAGCTTGAATAGTTCTGGAGGTAGTGTGCCTTGCAGGATGCTGGCATACTAGTGAACAGTGGATTTAATATGAAATGGACCCTGCACTCTACAATATTGATCAACTAGGTGGGGTGTGCCCATTTGTATAGTATTTTCATGATAGTTGTAAAATAATCAATCACTTTCTTTTGGGAATTCAAATGAGCACTTGTGGTATTAAGTTTACACTTAAAAATTAAAGCTTGCCAGAAGCTCAGAGAGCAGACCTAGCCATAGATGACAGACAGAGGTGGCATACACCTTTAATCCCAGCACTTGGGAGGCAGAGGCAAAGGGATCTCTGTGAGTTCAAGGCCACTCTGGGATACAGCCTAAAAGAAAAACAGACCTCACACCTTTGATCCCAGCACTTGGGATTACTCTCCTTTAATTCCAGCACTAGGGAGAAGGAAACAGGAATGATGTGACTGGACAGAGAGACAGGAGCTCATGGCATTCAGTCAGAGGGTTCCTAGAGAGATGATCTTCCATTCGGACTTATGATTTGCTAGAGATAAGAAGTGGCTGGCTGTTATGCTTCTCTAATCTTTCAGTATTTACCTCTATACCTGACTCAGTGTTTTTATTAAGGCCAATTAGAATTTGTAGTACACTCTATAGGTGGAGTCAAATCTGGCCAAAATCTCTCAGAAGCCATATGGCCTAAGGAGAAACCATTACTGTTTTAGTAAATAGATAAGTTGTGAAACTGTTTTCTAAATACTTATGTTTATACTCGTAGATTGTGGTCTCCTCCTTATCTAGTGAAGCTTCTTGCTGCCATAAGCATGATTTAATAAGAACACCCAAAGCAAATAAATGATCAGAGAAAAAGTGATTAGTCCATGCATAGACTTAGAAAAAAGACTACTGTAGCTTGTCTCTTCTCCCCAAAGATTCAGGGAACATCATGAAAAAGGAGACAGAAAGATTGTAACACCCAGAGTATGAGTGGATGATGTGAACACTGTAATATTGATGTGAAATTATTATTGCATTCATGAACTGAAATCATCTATAGTTACCTACACAAATTCTTCACAAAATAAAGCACATCAATTTTACAGAATGATTGTGGTGAGGACAAATGAGACCACCAGCTATTTGTAGTAAATGATAACGAAAGGAGGCTTAGTTTTCTTCAGTGCTATACCCACTGGCAAATTTCCTTAATGTATTAATAACCTCACAATCATGCATATTCAAATGATTCTTATTGGAACTCAGTTAATTTTTATAGTAAAAAAATAAGTAAAATATGAGGGATGTATTGGGACAAACAATTGTTCCAGATGACTATGAGGTAGATAAGAGAGGAGGGGTGAATAGAGGAAGCATATAATCAAAACAGTGTATATAAATGTATTAAATTTTCAAAAGATAATTTAAAACTATTAAATTGTAAAAACAGCTGCCTATACAGAACTGAAAATTGCCTATAGTGTGGGAAACATTTCAATGTCTATGAAGAATCTAAAACACTCTTAACATCCACCACATGAAATAAAAATTCTTCATAAAAGTTGTACATTGACTTAGAAATATTAATACCTGAAAAGTATGTGGTGTCAATTTAATTTTACATATATAGATTTTTTGTAAAAAAAAAAATCAGAAATAAATTTCTCTTTCCAAATGAGGAAATGGCATAAGACTGAACTAGACTCCCTTAATACAGGTGATAGTGGTGTGACTAGGACAATATATGACGCCACTGGCAGTGGGCCTAAGATCTAACTCTAATGCACAAACTGACTTACTGGAGCCCATTCTATATGGAGAGATACCTTGCCCAGCCTAGACATGGGTGTGGGGGGTGGAGAGGTGCCTTGGTCCTGCCTCAAGGAGATGACTTAGTAGACTTCCTGGGTGGGGTCTTACTCTCTCCATAGAGCAGATGGGAGGTGAGGGTGAGAGTTGGTAGTACAGGAGGAGAGGAGGGAGGGGAAACTGGGATTGAAAGTCAAACAATTAATTAATAGATAAAATTCTATCTTTCTTACTTTTTCATGTCCATATTATTTATGAAAGAGCAGTAAGTAACCAACAGGAAAAATAATCCAGAAAAGTGTTTTATCATTAAAAAATAATAACTGGAAAATTCACTAATGTAATTACTTAAATAACTGGATCTAGATGTGAATATGCAGAAAATAAAGTTTTGGAAAATTTATCTTACTCTTCACAGCTGTAGGTCAATATTACAAAATAATCTGAAAAGTTCATATTTCATTTCTTCAGTGGTACTGCAAAAGATGTGATTGGTTGTAGCCCTTTATTATAGTTCCCTTGTGAAAGGGTCATTCAACTCCCAAAGGAGTCACCAACCACAGACTGACAACTGCTGCTCTAGAACTGATAGAATGAATTTATATCTATATCATATATATCCATATCCGTGTGTGTGTGTGTGTGTGTGTGTGTGTGTGTGTGTGTGTGTGTGTCTGTGATAGTGTAAAAGCAGTTCACAGATATGGATAAAATAAATATACAGAAGGGTAATTTATTAGGGTGGCTTACAGGCCATAGTCCTGCTAGTCCAACAATGGCTATCTACCAATGTAAAGTTTAAGTTTCTAATAGTTTTTCAGTCCCCAAAGCTGGGTATCTCAGCTGGTCATCAGGATATTCTGGAATCCTGAAGAAGTAGGCTCTAGTGCCAGTGACAGATGGACTGGCTAATGAGAGAGTAAGAGTAATCAAGCAAAAAGGAGAATTTCCTTCTCCCTTGTCATTATATAGAATAATATCAGGGGTGTCCCAGATGAAAGGTACATCTTCTCACTTCAAAGGGTCTGTATCTAAGGTGGATCTTCCAAACTCAAGTGATTCAGGTTAATATCGAAACTTACAACTTCAAATTATTCAATTTAAAAATCTATCAGAAGTGTACGAAGCAACATGGATTTTAGTTAATTCCAGATGTATTTGAGTTGACAACCAAATATAGTAATCACAAACATACCCCTTGAAATATGATCAATCTTCTCTCTACTCATTCTTATGCCTTTCTTACACTTTTGGCTGAAGAGATTAGAAACTGAAAGATGCTAGGGAGAAGTTTGGGCTTCCAATTGGATTGTTTGTTATGTCTCTTGGCAGGAGTGTTTCCCCTCTAACAAAACTTCTAGGCCAAGATTACTCAAGTACCATAAGCAAGAAACAAAAATATTCCTAGAGGTAATAGTGGGTGAATCTTGTTCCCTCTCCATTTCTTGATTCCATGGCCCATGGATTCTGGCTATGAGAAAATCCATACTATATACTGAATGCTGATTCAAAGAATATACCATCTTCTGGAGAACCCTGCCCTACCCTCTCCAGGATACTGCCACCTAATCGGTGATGTAACTATAGCTTCAAAGGGCCATATTTCTATCAGTCCAACTGATTCAGGATTGTGAGGGACACAATAAGACCAATGTGTTCTATGATTATGGACTCACTGTCTTACTTCTGTGGCTGTGAAGAGAGGAATAACTGTTCATAAGGAATACCATTACAGTGAAGTTGAGTCCACAAATGGTAGTTTTAAAAGAATCATTATGTGCATTAAAGGCACATATATAACCAGAAAAAATAACTATTCCTATAAGGGCAAAGCAATGTC